GCCCATCGCTCTTAACCGCTAGCTAATATTTAACTTCTTAATTCGGCTACACATTCCACTGCGCAATATGCTATATACAATCAAATTGATTTATAAAGCCCTTTTTACATCAGCAGATGTCACAAAGTGCTTATACAGAAACCAAGCCTAAAATCCCAAAGAGCAAGCAATGCATATGTAGAAGCATGTTGGCTAGGAAAAACTCCCCAGAAAGGCAGGAACTTAGGAAGAAACCTAGAGAGGAACCAGGCTCTGAGGGGTGGCCAGTCCTCTTCTGGCTGAGCTGGGTGGAGATTATAAGATCGTTCTTCAAGCTGTTAAAACGTTCATAGATGACGAGCAGGGTCAAATAATATTCACAGTGGTTTTAGAGGGTGCAACAGGTCAGCACCTCCGGAGTAAATGTCAGTTGGCTTTTCATAGCCGAGCATTCAGAGGGAGGGAGAGAGAGAGGGTCGAAAACAGCAGGTCCGGGACAAGGTAGCACGTCCGGTGGACAGGTCACGGTTCCATAGTAGAAACTGGATCAGCAGCACGACTGGGGACTGGGAATGCCAGGAGTCGTCAGGCCAGGTAGTCCTGAGGCATGGTCCTAGGGCTCAGGTCATCCAGGAAGGGAAATAGATGGGAGAATTAGAGGGAACATACTTAAGTTCACACAGGACACCAGATAAGACAGGAGAATTATACCAGATAGGACAGACTGACCCTAGCCCCCCGGCACATAGACTATTGCAGCATAGATACTGGAGACTGAGACGGGGGGTCAGGGGACACTGTGGCCCCGTCCGACGATACCCCCGGACAGGGCCAACCAGGCAGGATATAACCCCACCCACTTTGCCAAAGCACAGCCCCCACACCGCTAGGGAGATATCAACAGAACACCAACTTACTACCCTGAGACAAGGCTGAGTATAGCCCACAAAGATCTCCCCAACCGCACAAGCCAGAGGGGGGCGCAAAACCGGACAGGAAGATCACGTCAGTGACTCAACCCACTCAAAAGGGGCTGCATGGGAGAGCACTGTGACCCGTAACAAGCCTCGCCGCTATTCCTCTGTTCATGAAATCCCAGGAAATGCTATAGACTACAAAAGCTATAGGACACTTATTTTATTAGCATTTTCTATATTAGAACTAATGGCTTATTCGAGGAGAGAAGCAGGCCTGCTCTTGCTAATTGCTGAATGTAAAATAAGCCTAGAGCATAGGCCAATTAATAGAGTGCTTTGGCCGGTGATGATAACATTGTTGCACTGATGCATTGCAAATGGTTGCACAGGACAGACAGAGAGATGAGCACAGTGAAAAATAAGATCCAAACGAATTAACTACCATTTGAAAAATGGAAATAACTTGCAAACCACTTGAGCAACGAGGTAAGCAATGACAAGACATGCTGTAAAAGATATGCAGATAGCTACATTTAAATATGAGTTTCGATATAATTTTTCATTACTTGTACATTGAAGTATTACTGCAGTTGTCACTGTGACAATGAACACACCCTGAAGCACTGAAGGGTCTTGTGTTACCACCTTATTAAAGGGTAGAAAGCATGAGTTCTTACTGACCAAAGTAACAACACAGTGTGGTCAAAGACTTAATAACTTAGTTATCGTCACGATCTGGTTACCTATAACTACAAACATTAGTTAAGTTTTAACGGTTTTAAATATTTACTAACTTATTTGTGGATATCTTTGGAACTACCCACAATGCACTTTTTCTCAACGTCATATGTAGAACCAGTGCTACCTATCTAGTACCAGCTGGCTAATGTTAGCTACTAGCCATTCTAGCATGTAATTACATTCCAAACCAAGTGTTGGCGCTGGTGAGCTACTATGTACATCCACAAAGAAGAAACCATATAAATTCATGCAAAAAAACTGCAACTCTTCTCCTGTGCGTTTGGTAGTGGTAGTCGAGCAAGCGAGTGAGTCTTGTAGTAGTTTTCCGTCGTTTGTAGCTAGTGCAGTAAGACCCACATAGTGCGTTAATACCCACAAGGACGGGGTAACGACTCATTTCTGGCCCAATCGTTTGTGGCCCAAATGTGAAAAAAGCAAGCTTTGAAGTAGGAACGGTTTGTCCGGTTGAAGCCAGCAGATTGAAGTATGGGAACCGTGCACACGTCTACTGTATGCAGTGCTCATTTCACCCTGGAGGACTTTGATGGCTTAGTATAATCAGTGGAAGGAAGGATTCGGAATGAGACTCTGACTGAAACCAGGTGCTGTGCCGAGCGTGAATGTGAAGCCTGCAACCTCAATTTCCTACTGACCTACCGGTACATCGCAAGTGTCAGCAGTGAAGGGGATAAACCGGGTAAATTCAATGTGGATTTACCTCACTATATCGCTATTGGATTAGCTAGCTGTCGCTTCCTCTTAGCTGGCAGGCTTGCTTGCTGGCTAAGATAACTGCATATTAACATTATTTGTTAACTGGTTAGATGGCGTTATGTATTTCCAAAATGTTGGTTTACTTTAATGTAGCTGTAAGCTAGGTGTTGATGTTAACTGGCTGACTCATGCAGTGCTAACGGATCGTTAGCGGGCTAGTAGGGCTAACATTAGCAGGCTAGTTGGCTAGCAACCTTGCAAGCTGATTTGTAACAAATTCAAAGTATTTTCTTGTAAGCTGGCAGAAAATTCAATTGAAACCAGTAGTCATGAGTGCAAACGATTTGGTTTAATTTGAAATTATACATTTTAAGATATTTCAGTTGGAGTTTACATTATAGGGAATAGGCTGGCTTGCCGGGTCCTCCATATTACATCACACCCCGCAAATGTTTTTTCCGACACGACTTCGTCATTCTTCGGAATTCTGATCAGTTTTATGCAATAACGTGAAAACATAGAAAAGTGAGGTGTAACTTGCATTGGGACTTTTGATGCGTATACTAACGCAAATCCATGTTACATGTGATTACATTTATGCTACCTACCCTTTAATAGGCCTACAGCGTCCCGTAGGATGCGTTGATCCGTTGATTGACAGGTGTACCGTAGAACAATAAACGAAAAACGTTCCTCTAGTATGGATGCTCGCCAACGTTTAATAGTTATACAAGTTTATCGCTGTAGTTATCGTTATAGTTATCGTCCTTGGTGTGGATGGCCCTTTATGTGTTAGTATAAAGGTGTGAATGGCCCTTTATGTGTTAGTATAAAGGTGTGAATGGCCCTTTATGTGTTAGTATAAAGGTGTGAATGGCCCTTTATGTGTTAGTATAAAGGTGTGAATGGCCCTTTATGTGTTAGTATAAAGGTGTGAATGGCCCTTTATGTGTTAATATAAAGGTGTGGATGGCCCTTTATGTGTTAATATAAAGGTGTGGATGGCCCTTTATGTGTTATGGCCCTTTATGTGTTAATATAAAGGTGTGGATGGCCCTTTATGTGTTAGTATAAAGGTGTGGATGGCCCTTTATGTGTTAATATAAAGGTGTGAATGGCCCTTTATGTCTTAGTATAAAGGTGTGAATGGCCCTTTATGTGTTAGTATAAAGGTGTGAATGGCCATTTATGTGTTAGTATAAAGGTGTGGATGGCCCTTTATGTGTTTGTATAAAGGTGTGCATGGCCCTTTGTGTTAGTATAAAGGTGTGGATGGCCCTTTATGTGTTAATATAAAGGTGTGGATGGCCCTTTATGTGTTAATATAAAGGTGTGGATGGCCCTTTATGTGTTAGTATAAAGGTGTGGATGGCCCTTTATGTGATAGTATAAAGCTGTGGATGGCCCTTTATGTGTTAGTATAAAGGTGTGGATGGCCATTTATGTGTTAGTATAAAGCTGTGACTGACCCCTATTAAATGTATGCAGTGTGTGGTCAGTGATCAGACACATGAGTGAGTATCAAGGCCTACTACAACAGGGAGCAGCAGAGGGGGTGTGTCTGCTGGGGAAACAGCACAATCAGTTAACACTCCTCAAGGTCTCAGTGTGAGGGCTTTTTTTTTCAGACCCCGGGAAGCACAAACGGCACCCGGCTGCCAAGCCCTCTGCCCTCAGGGGAAATGAAAAAAGAGGAGGAGGGGAGTTGGAGCTGTTCTATCTCTCGCTCTCTATCCCCCTTCCATTCAGCGGGAGTCACTCAGCTGTGTTAAATTACTAGCGGGGTGATTACAAAAGAGGGAGCTCTCCGTCCCTCCCACTCCAGCGGTTGAACCCCTCACCCTGGTCATGTGACCCGGATAATCAGAGAAGGCAGTCACCGTAGTCTCGCCACAGGATCAAGACCTCATCAACATCACAGATCTGTTGTGTATGGCAACTGCAATCCACCCTCGTTCCATCCATTTGCTCACGCTTGCAGAGGTGGTATATTTTGTTAATTTGTTCCTTAGGTAAACATTTAAAGTTTGTTGATTACCTACTTATATGTTGGTTAGTAGCCTACGCCCAATTATTTGAACTAAAAAAGGAGACGCACCAGTGTGACCTCAAGTATCCATATTGGCACGATTACCGAAATTGAATTGAAGTGCCAAATTGGCCTCAAGACTTTATCCTTATGGGAACAACATGATAACGTGATAACCTTTGAAAGCCCAGCTCCACCACAGATTTCAGCTACATGGTTCTAGATAGCTGTGTGTGTGGGAGAGTGTAATCCAATGCCACGGAAAGCCTGAGCGACGATGGCGGAGTTTATCAGTTACCATTTAACAGTGAAGGGATTTCATTCCTTTATCACCTCAGTCGATGGGCACCGCTCCCACTCAGATTAAGGCCTTTATCACTGTTATCAGCACTTTCGACAATGTAGAAAAATCCCACGCCGCTCTCGTCAACACAATGCCTTTTTAAACGTCAATTAAGAACATAAAGTCTGACTTTCAGGCTGGATGGGACTGTGCACTGGTGGCTGACGCCATGTTATTCATCCTCCAGCCATTTATATAGATGGCTTTTGTCCACTCTAGTCTATTTGACCTGCAGTTGGTGAATGGGGAAACATATAATACGACAAGTTAAATGAGAATGGTGCCTGGGAGCAGGGGTCACAGTGCCTGGGGGCCTCGGACGACCTGCAGACTCGACCCACCGCAGGGGAGGGGGGGCCTTAGGGGCCACGGGGAGGAGGATTACGGGGTCCATGCCTGCCCATTAATGAAAGGCCTTCCACCGGGGGAAGTTGAAACTGGTGACCCAGGCAGGTGAGGCCTTCCGGACCCCCAGGCTCCCTCTGGGAGCTTGTCAGCTCTTTGTTGCCATTAGAGAGGCTTTTGATGGGGGAGGCGAGGAGGGATGAGCGGAGCAGGGCTGGTGGTGATCTTTGTTGCCATTAGGGCGGCCTTTGATGGGGGAGGTGAGGAGAAGTGGTCTTTGTTACTCTGCGGGGGCAGTGGGAGGGAATGGGTTCCTAGCTGGTGCACTTGAGAATCAACATGGGGGCAACCGGTTCATGTCTCTCCTAGCTTCTTTCTCACTCCCTGTATCTTGCCATTTCACTTTTCTTATTACTCTTTTTTCTGTCCATTTCTTTCTGGGCCTCTCTCTCTCTTTTGCTGTTGCTTACTTTTGCTTCCTGGGCCTTTCTGCTTCCTGGGCCTTTCTGCTTCCTGGGCTCGATACAAATGGGCCAGGCTAACTCGGATGAATTTACGGGGAAGGGGACAAGCCTATTTTGGTTGCAGTATTTTTTTTTTCACCTGCTAAATCCAGTCATTTTAACCAACTGTAATACGTTCAGAGATGACTTGACTCCTTCACACAAACCCTTATAAAGTCCAGAAAGATGTGCAACTCGGCCATGGAGAAGCAAAAGGAATCCTCCAACCCTATCTGGAGATCTGCTCTCTGGTTGAGGAAGACCCCGGCAAGTGGAGCTTGTAATCTGAGTTTGGACTTGTCTGCCACGCCAGTTTGCTGCTCTTGGTAAGCGTAGTCTGCAGAGAGGTATGCAAAACAGCCGCAGAGTCCCACACCGCAAGTATGAAAAACAGCCTGGCTTTTCCTCTCCACAATGAGCCATTCTCCCAACTGGCTCTCTTCTACGTGCCCTACAAACCCCAGGCGGGCTCGCTGGGAGGGGAGAGAGAGAGAGACGGACACACATTGTATTCTTACCCTTAGCAGACTCCATGTTCAGACTCTGTTCTGCTCTGGGAAGGTTCAGTGCCTGGGGGTTATGTGTAGTGGGGGCTTGGTGCCTATGGATTGTGTGTGGAAGTGATTGAGGGAGTTATTTTGTTTTCTTGTCGAAGAACTCCCCAGTGCTCGTGTGGTGGGTCACCTGCTGAAGCTAGGCTAACGCTAGCCCTACTTGTGAACAGATGGAGACTAGTCATCGCTGGGTTTTCTCATTGTCTAAGTGCGCCAGCCCTGCCCCCACCGCCACCCCGCCCTTATAATCTCTTCAGTGAGGAATAAACTCCTAATCTGTCTAAGACTAAACCCCAACGGCCCTGGAAGCTCAACATACAGAGCTCACTTTGTTTACATGTTTGCTTTGTGTGAGTCATATCGGTTTCACACTCTGAGTGTCTGTCTTCACTGAGTGAAAGACCAGGGTGAGAACAAAAGCTTTACAGGTCTGCCCAGGTTGAGAAACCGGCAGTATTTCCAGCAACAACAAATGCAGGCCAAGCGAAAACGTAGAGGGAGGCAGGGGCCGTGCCGAGAGCTCTCCTGAGCTTTATAAAAACTGAATTAGCCTTCAAACCGCTGTCAGAAATGTAGCTTTAATGCGGGCAGACTCCCATTACCGCCAATGACTTATCTGGCACACAGAGGTCACTATCAGGGTATGGGATTGAAGCGAGCTGCAGGCTTTCAGGCCTAACCTCCTGAAAGCAACACTGTGTGGCCTTTTTACCACTGTTGTTTTTTACTCATGCTGTGGTTACGTTCATACACACAGCTCACACACTTCACATAGACTAGGCTACATTCACACACACACACAGATAACACACTTCAACTCAAACCTGTGTTTTACCATTTATATATGTGATTTCGGGGACTTCCCTCACCTGCTTAAAGCACTTATGTGATTTCGGGGACTACTTTCGAGTTGTGTTTAATGGACAGTATCAGATTTTTAATGTCTTGGCACAGACTATGACTTCCCTTTACGAGGCTCCGGAGTTGAACCTCAGCATCGCCTGCCATTTGAAATAACATTTGCGTGCCTGAGCAAATGACATGGAATTGGCAGAGGCTTCATTTTGTCTTGCACCTTTCCCAAGCAATGGAACCCCGGTTCAAGTTCAGTGATAGGCCTAATGGTTACCTTTCCAACAATGTGCTGATGTCATGCTAACTCTTTGCAGATGGGATAATTGCTTCCAAAGCTGTTCTGTCTGCCTACACGTAAACTCACGCAAGTTCATCATTGATTGTTTGAACGGCTCGTCCCGTTGAACCGGTATTGTCTCATTTGTTATGCCAGTAACTTCTCTTCTGTTGTCGTTTTTCTGCTCTGACAGTTCAAATCTATCGGAACGGTTGGAAAGCGTTGGACAGCTATAGGCTTTTGAGTTAATGGTACATTGTCCCCTGTAGCTCAGTTGGTAGAGCATGGCGCTTGCAACGCCAGGGTTGTGGGTTCGTTCCCACGGGGGGGGCAGTATGAAAAATGTATGCACTCACTAACTGTAAGTCGCTCTGGTTAAGGGCGTCTGCTAAATGCCTAAAAATGTTTTTTTTTAAATACTCCCTTTCTTGAAACCAAACAAATATTCTGCACTTGAGTTAAGCAACATTATCTGGAGTGTGCTGTGTAAACACAGTCATTGTGACTGATATTTATGAGAGAAGCTGCTAAGGCAAAATGGTCGGCTGACTGAGTTCAGTTCAATTATGAAAGCCAAAGCCCCTGGGGGAATGTCTCAATGAAATTGAGTGTATGTGTGGTAGTGATTCTTTGGAAGCTCATCCTGTGATACCAACTGCCCCCTAGTGGTCTAAGAAGCACATGGCAGTCTCTCTCAGCAGCCAGGGCACACAGATGAGTCGAGCCTCACTCCTCCACTTCCCCGCACTCTGCTAGTATCAAAGCGTCTGTCAGCCGATGCGCAAACCATTCGAGAGACAAATTGAAGGCGACAGACCTGGGCTTTGGCAACCAGGGAACTCTTTTATATGCCTCAGCTGTTTCCTTCCCCGACATGAAAATACAACCTTTTTTTTTTCTTCTGTGGAGCCTCTGCAGTCTGCAGGCAGCAATGTCATTTGGAGGACACCCCCCCCCCGTTGTTTTCCCTCCTCCTCCATCCCTCGCTCAGCTGCATACAAATGGCCGTCTGTCAGTGTACTGTGCTGCACCTAGGCCCTGTAATCAGGAACTGCTCTGTTCTAATGGAGGCGGGAGGTGTGTGTGTGTGTGTGTGTGTGTGTGTGTGTGTGTGTGTGTGTGTGTGTGTGTGTGTGTGTGTGTGTGTGTGTGTGTGTGTGTGTGTGTGTGTGTGTGTGTGTGTGTGTGTGTGTGTGTGTGTGTGTGTGTGTGAGTGTGTGTGTGTGTGTGTGTGCACTTGCAACAGGGAAACCAGCGTGCTGAATACTGAACAGTCGCACCTATTCTATTCAATACTCTGACATAGACCTGAATGTTGCTTGGCGCCGTCTTTTCTCTTGAGGAATTAATATGAAACCAATGAGTAGTATGACAGCTTTTTAGTACAGAGTGTTATGTTTACTAGTAGTGATGAGTGGGAAAAATCGACAGTTACATATCGGGGATATGATTTTTGACGATATATCAATTCGTATCATTTTGACAATATCGCAATATTATTTTTGCGCTAGTTGGCTGTGCCTTATCTTGACCTCAATCTTCTTTTTAAATACGGAACCAACATGTTTTCATCTCTGTTATTTCCATGACCGATCAGAACCCGTTTTCTCACGTCTCTCTCTTGTCCCTCTGCAGCAGACATATGGTGACCAATATGTTTGGAACATCGGATCTCAACAAAATCACAGTATCGAATCGCAAAACATATAGCATCATGAGAATCGCAATACATATCGAATCATGAGAATCGCAATACATATAGAATCATGAGAATCGCAATACATATAGAATCATGAGAATCGCAATACATATCATATCGGCACCTAAGTATCGTGATACTGTATCGTGCGTGATATTGTATCGTGATACTGTATCGTGAGGTTCCTATTTACTGGCCTATATTGTCCAGGCTGACAAGTATTTTTGATGGAAATTGTCATGTTATGCTAATAAGCAGTGTGATTATGTGTATTATATATTAATATTATATATTCGTTATGTGTGTGTTCAATCAATCTAATTTCTTTCATAAAGCCATTTTTACATCAGCGGTTGTCACAGTGCTTTACAAATACCCAGCCGAAAACCTCAGCGCAAGCAACGCCGAGGCAGGAAGCACAGTGGCTAGGACAAACTCCCTAGAAGGCAGAATTGCATGATGGTGGGGTTTGCACCCTTGACCGATGAAGGAAGACATGAGATGACAGTTCCTCTGTGATCATTCCTCCTTTCCCTCTCCTCCCAGGCATGCTGGTAGTTAACGTGACCTGGAGAAACAAGACCTATGTAGGCACCCTCCTGGACTGCACCAGGCACGACTGGGCTCCGCCAAGGTAAGCATACAGTAACCCACTAAACACAAACGCACTGGAAACGCATGCACGCACTCACACACACACTCACACACACGTTCAAACTGAACATTGTCTGTCAGACACTTGAACTGACAGATATTGGTACTAAAGGCCTCTCGAGGGCAGATTCCCCCCCATAGCTTATCCTTTGCTCGGAGCCAGCCATTATGAATGAAATATCCTTTGGCAACGTCTCCAAAGCTTTTCCCTCGCTGACACAGGGCTTTTGAAATGATTTTTCTCTTCCTCCTCTGCCATCTATCCTGTCGAGGCACCACAGAGCTTTCATAGACTTCTACTAAACACCTGAGTGCGGTCTGTCCAAAGCCTGCTGGGTCTTAGTGTCCTCAATGATGTTCGAAGGCTTGAAAGCTAGCTGTGGAACAGAATCTGGTAGTGTTATCAATAGGTAGTAGGCTATTTGATTTATTTTTCATTGCTGTCAATGGTGGGGGACGAGGAAGGTCTTAGTATATTTTATTATCAGTAGGTTGAGTGTGTAGTGGTGTTCCCACAGTGTTCTATAGCAGCGGACAACCGGAATCATCAAACATGGCCGCTGGCCAGTCCCAGGATGGAGAAGGGGAGACCATATTGTACATGGGGAAATCAAGATGAAACATGTATAGCCATCATCCATTCACATCAGAGCTACTTTGTAGATTGTTTAAATTCTATTAAAGGTTTGCCACCTGTAGTACAATGAAGCATTTATCAAAGGTCTATAAGACTATACGGCCCGAAAGAGTTGGTAGGTAATTGCTTCACCGTGTGTTGGCAAGTAAGATAAACAATAGCTATAGTGATGTAAGTAATCGTCCTGCATCCCCATAGCTTTGTGTGCAACACTGTAATCTACAATTTGTCAGTGGTCATGTAGAACAACCCAGTCACTCATGTTATTATCAAAGATCTGCTGTCATCTTTCCCGCCATGCAACACATCTTTTGATAGAGCTCTGTGACTCGTCTCGCTCTCTCACTCTACTTCTCTTTCTGTACCTCGCTCTACGTCGCGGTCTACGTCTTTCTCTCTCTTTACTGCTCTCTACATACCTCTCTCTCTCTACCCCTCTCTCTCTACCTCTATCTCTCTACCTCTCTCTCTACCTCTATCTCTCTACTTCTCTCTCACCCCTCTATCTCTACCCCTCTCTCTCTACCTCTCTCTCTCTACCTCTATCTCTCTACCTCTCTCTCTACTTCTCTCTACCTCTATCTCTCTCTACCTCTCTCTCTACCTCTCTGCCTCTCTTTCTCTCTCTCTCCATCTATATCTCTACCTCTCTCTCTCTACTTCTCTCTCTACTTCTATCTCTGCCTCTCTCTCTACCTCTATCTCTCTACCTCTATCTCTCTACTTCTCTCTCTACCTCTCTCTCTACCTCTATCTCTCTACCTCTCTCTCTGCCTCTCTCTCTACCTCTCTCACCCCTCTATCGCTCTACCTCTACCTCTCTCTCTACCTCTCTCTCCCTCTATCTCTCTACCTCTCTCTACCTCTCTCTCTCTACCGCTCTCTCTACCTCTATCTCTACTTCTCTCTCTACCTCTATCTCTCTACCTCTCTCTCTACCTCTCTCTCTACCTCTCTGCTCCTCTCTTCTCTGCCTCTCTCCTCTCTCTGCCTCTCTCTCTCTCTCCTCTCTACCTCTCTCTCTCTACCTCTCTACTCTATCTCTACTCTCCTCCTCTAGTCTACCGCCGAGCTCGATACAGCTCTCGACCTCTATCTCTCGACATCGCTGCGCTCTTCTCCCTACCTCTCTCTCGACTTCTCTCTCTGCCTCTCTCTCTCTCTCTCTCTCTCTCTCTCTCTCTACCTCTCTCTCTACCTCTATCTCTCTACCTCTATCTCTCTACCCCTCTCTACGCTATCTCTTGATTATCTCTCCCTCATCTCTAATCTACTCTACCTCTATCTCTCTACCCCTCTCTCTACCTCTCTCTCTATCTCTACCTCTATCTCTCTACCTCTATCTCTCTACCTCTCTCTCTACCTCTCTCTCTACCTCTCTCTCTACCTCTATCTCTATCTCTCTCTCTCTACCGCTATCTCTCTACCCCTTGTTGGCCGTTGTGTAAAGGTGGGATGTTATCTCCTCCTATCTGATCAGCCTAATCCCGTCGAGCTCCGTGGCGCTTGGCGATCTGTCAGAACACACTGGGCTGTCGAGATTGAGGGATAACGAGAGGATCAGAATCCGTCGCAGGTCCAGGTCCTCTCCCAGGGCCTGCTAGTAACATCCCTCCTCGGAGCGGTGATGATTCAGAGACCGAGAATTACAACAGGATTGAGAGAGCTCCATTGAGTGGTTCACCACCTTTAGTTAGTATTGTTTTAATATCTAGCTTTTATTGGCTGTTGGTGGGGATTCATGAGGGAAGTGAGTTCTCTGGTTGGAGGCTCTGTTATTGTGGGGGGATAATGGCGGATAGGTTTAATTCTCTGGTTTTGGTTTTCCCCCAGGTTCTGTGAGTCCCCCTCCAGTGACTTGGAGATGAAGAACGGCCGAGGCCGGGGCAAGAGGATGAGGCCTAACGGAAACACACCCGTCAACGAGAACAGCAACTCGTCAGACAACAAGGGAAGCGGCACCAGCAAGACGCGCGGTGCCAACAGCAGCAGCAAGAGCCGGCGGGGCACGCCGCCCAACAGCAACACAGAGGACGTTAAGGCCAGCCCTTCGTCGGCTAACAAGCGCAAGAACAAGCCCGCCTCAGACATGGAGCCCAACTCCAGCTCGGAGGACACCAAGGGCAGCAAGCGCATGCGCACCAACTCCAACAGCGGCCCTGGAGGACTGCCCCAGACGCCTCACGCCGTCCTCCCCGGCAAACCCGGCATCAAGGCGGAGCCGCTGCCCCCGCAGCAGCTCGACCGCAACTGCCCTTCGCCGGTGCTCATTGACTGCCCGCACCCCAACTGCAACAAGAAGTACAAGCACATGAATGGCCTCAAGTACCACCAGGCCCGCGCCCACAATGACGATGACATCAAGCTGGACATGGACGGGGACAGTGAGTACGGGGAGGACTCTACGCTCCACCCCGATCCGAGCAGCTTCAATGGGGCTTCCATCTCTCAAAAGGGCTGCTTGTCACCGGCCCGCTCAATCACGCCCAAGGGTAGGGGCTTTGAGGCCCAGACTCCGTCACCCTCCTCGGGGAAGTTTGTCTCCAAGCAGAGTAAAAAGAAGCCGTGCGAGGCCGACCCAGAGGCGGGGGGCATGCCCGTGGACGGCTGTGAGGACGGGCCCTGCCTAACGGACGAGGCCAGCAATGACGGCCTGGACTACAAGAAGGACAAGGCCAAGAAGACGGGCGGACAAGCTGGCTCCAAGGCGGACAAGCTGGCCCAGAAGGGTGTGAAGTCAACACGGCCCAACGCCCCGACCATACCACCTCAGCAGCTCTACTCCCTACAGACGGCAGGCAGCTTCCCTGCAGCCAGCCCTGGCTCCACCCCTGCCGTGGGCTCAGCAGTTCAGTCTGTCCCCAAGAGCCCCCAGCTAAAAGCCATCCAGCCCAAGCCCTCTGCCCTGGGAGACCCCTCGCCTGTGAACCCAGCGCTGAGCGGCTCCAAGGACAAGAAGAAGAAAAAGGAAAAGAAGAAGAAGGAGGATGTGGGAAAGGAGGGAGACAGCCCCAAAGGGAGAGGAGGAAAGCCCGAGGAAGGTAAGAGCCCGTACTCTGAATCTTCGGACCCGGGGAGCAAAGGCGACGGGCTGCTGAACGGCTCGTCAGACCCCCACCAGAGCAGGCTGGCCAGCATCAAGGCCGAGGCGGACAAGATCTACAGCTTCACCGACAACGCTCCCAGTCCCTCCATCGGCGTGGCCAGCAGGATAGAGGCCGGAGGCATGGCCCAGCCCCTCACCCCGCTCCATGTGGTCACACAGAACGGAGCCGACAACTCCTCGGTGAAGACCAACAGCCCAGCCTACTCAGACATCTCGGACGCGGGCGAGGACGGCGAGGGCCGGGTGGAGGGCGTCAAGGGAGTCAAGTCCGAGGAGCAGGCCACCCGAGAGGGGGCCAAGAAGGCCCTGTTCCCCACCCAAACGGCCAGCAAGGAGTCTCCCTACTACCCCGGCTACGAGACTTACTACTCCCCGAACTATGCCAACCCTAACCCTAGCCCGGGGGTGTCGGCCACGGGGGTCGCGCAACAGGAGGGGGCCCAGGTCAAGGTGAAAAAAGAGGAGCAGGAGGGGCCGGGCGAGGAGGACCGCAAGGTCAAGCAGGAGCAGCAGGAGGAACGTAAGCCCGAGATAGGTGCCTCTGGGCCGGGACAACAGCAGCAGCAACAGGCCTCGGTCATCCAGCAGCGCTCCAACATGTACATGCAGCCTCTCTACTACAACCAGTACGCCTACGTTCCCCAGTACGCCTACCACCCGGACCAGGCCTACCACAACCACCTGATGAACACCAACCCGGCCTACCGGCAGCAGTATGACGAGCGGCAGAGGCAGGCGGCAGCCGAGCAGCACCGCGCCGCAGAGAAGAAATCAGACGCTGCTGGAAAAGAGCGAGAGGGCTCCTCGGGGAAGGAGCGGGGTGAGGAATGGAAGCAGAAGGCTTTGGTTCCCCCCACCCTCTCCAAGGCTCCCAGTCTCACAGACCTGGGCAAAGGCGGGCTGCCCCAGGGCAAGCCGCCCAAAGAGCCCTCGTCCTCCTTGGAGCAGGCCAAGTCATCAGTCATCATGCCCAAGGGGGAGGACGCCAAGGTGCCGGCCCAGCAGGCTGAGGGGATGAAGATGAAGCTGAGTGAAGGAGGACACCACGGGAAGGGGGAGGAGCCCAAGGCGGGCATGGAGTCGGGCAGGCCGTCTGCCATGGAGCAGGCCATGTGGTACAGACAGGTAACCTGACACGGTTGAGTTTGAATCTGCTGATTGTGATTGGATGATAGAAAAATGTATGTAGCAAGACACCAAAATGATCAGGATCAAACTGAGTAGAAGTGCATGCTGGTTTGTGTATTTTGGGAAATGTTTAAGTGAAGGTACATTTTTGTAGGACAAAACTGATGAGATGTTGTCTGTAATGAGATGTTTTGTGTTGTTTTCAGGAGCCAGACTCACGGCTGTGGCCTTACCTATACCCCAGCAAATACCCCGAGGCCCACAAACAACAGGAGGAGGAGCAGCGCAACAGGGAAAGAGACAGAGACCGAGGAGAGAGGGACCGAGACAACAGAGACAGGGAACGGGAACGAGACCGAGACAGAGACCGAAAGTGCAGGGACGAGAGGGCTCGGCCCAAAGATGCCACCCCCAAGGAGGAGTGTAAAGAGGGGTCTGAGCCCCGGTTGTCTTCGGCCTCGGAGGAACACCGGGGGGTGGGAAAGGACCCGAGGGCCACCGCTGGCCACATGCAGTTCTCCTCTCCCCTGGCCCAGCACCAGGGTTACATGCCCTACATGCACGGAGCCTACGCTTACGGCCAGGGCTACGACCCCAGCCACCCGGGCTACCGCGGGATGCCCTCAGTCATGATGCAGAACTACCCTGGTAAGAGTTAATGCCACTGCTTACAGTATACATTGCATTCAGAAAGTATTCAGACCCCTTCCCTTTTTCCACATTTTGTTACGTTACAGACTTATTCTAAAATGGATTAAATGGCTTTTTTCCCTCATCAATCTCCACACAATACCCCTTAATGACAAAGCGAAAACAGCTTTTTAGAAATTTTTGCAAATGTATTCAAAATATTTCCGAATGCACTGTACATACAGCTCTGCCATTGGATTGTTTAAATCTGTATTATGATGATGTACAAAATTGGCTTATATAAAATAAGACTGAGTGAACCCTGATATGCATTCATTTTCAGGTTTCTTTGATGGTAAATGGGAACACTTAATCGACTCGCGTGTCATGGTGTTTAACCTCCTCTGTCACCCCCCAGGCTCCTACTACTCCTTCTCCCCCTACGGCAGTAAGATGGGGCCGGGCGAGGAGGGCGGCGAGAAGGCCTCGCGGGCCAGTCCCACGGTCAGTGGCAAGTCGTCCTCCGAGGCCAAGGCATTGGACATCCTTCACCAGCACGCCAGCCAGTACAAGAGCAAGTCGCCCACGGTCGGCGACAAGACCTCCTCGCGCGAACGGGAACGGGAGCGCGCTGTGGCCGAGCGCGAACGAGACATGGACCGGCCGCGCTCCTCGCCCTCGCAGCGCATCATGCCTTCCCATCACCACCTGGGCTACCCGCTGCTCTCGGGGCAGTACGACCTGTCCTACGCCACAGGTAAGTGATGGATGGACGCCCACAAACAAGCTCAAGCACAAGGACACATCTCAGCCTTCAGCGTTGGCTAGCTCCTCAAATAGAACGCTGTTCAATGGTAGTCACCTAACTGTAAAATGATATAATTTTGTGAGGCCCTTTTCTCCTACCTAAGGTATTATGGAAAATAAAACAATAATAAAATATCATCCATAACTTGGTGTAAGTGTATTGACTAAATCTGAAGTTATTATTAGTATATGGAGGCGTATCTAACGAGTGGCTCTTCCTTCACAGGTCTCTCCTCATCAGCCATAGTTGCCAGTCAGCAAGCCTCCGCCCCCTCCATGTACCCCCCTGCACGAAGATGAGGATGGTGAGGATCCCGCTTACACAGACACACACACACACACACCACACACACCACAAAACACACACACACACCACACACACCACAAAACACACACACACAACACACCACCCACACACCACACACACACACCACAAAACACACACACACCAAACACACCACAAAACACACACACAACACACCACACACACACACACCACACACACACCACAAAACACACACACACACACACACACACACACCACACACACACACACACACCACAAAACACACACCACAAAACACACACCACAAAACACACACACACAACACACACACACATTTCTTCCTGATGTTTAAACATGGTCTTTGATCCAGAAGGGGTGTGTTATGATGAGCCTCTGTTGGCCTACTTGACCAAAAGTATGTGGACACCTGCTCGTCGAACATCTCATTCCAAAATCATGGGCATTAATATGGAGTTGGTCCCCCCTTTGCTGCTATAACAGCCTCCACTCTTCTGGGAAGGATTTCCAGCAACAAGATCATTCGTGATGTTGGGCGATTAGGCCTGGCTCGCATTCGCCGTTCCATTTCATCCCGAAGGTGTTCGATGGGGTTGAGGTCAGGGCTCTATGCAGGCCAGTCAAGTTCTTCCACACCGATCTCGACAAACCATTTCTGTATGGACCTCGCTTTGTGCACGGGGGCATTGTCATGCTAAAACAGGAAAGGGACTTCCCCAAACCGTTGCCACAAAGTTGGATGCACAGAATTGTCTAGAATGTCATTGTATGCTGTAGCGTTAAGATTTCCCTTAAATCGGACCTAACCCCAACCATGAAAAACAGCCCCAGACCATTATTCCTCCTCCACCAAACTTTACAGTTGGCACTATGCATTCAGGCAGGTAGCGTTCTCCTGGCATCCGCCAAACCCAGATTAGTGATTCATCACTCCAGAGAACGCATTTCCACTGCTCCAGAGTCCAATGGCGGCGAGCTTTACACCACTCTAGCCAACGCTTGGCGCTGCGCATGGTGATCTTAGGCTTGTGTGAGGCTGCTCGGCCATGGAAACCACAGGAGGTTGGTGGCACCTAAATTGGGGAGAACGGGCTCGTGGTAATGGCTGGAGCGGAATAAATGGAATGGTGTCAAATACATCAAACACATGGTTTCAATTTACTCTGTTCCGACCATTATTATGAGCTGTCCTCCCCTCAGCAGCCTCCTGTGATGGAAACTCCTTTCATGAAGCTCCCGACTAACAGTTATTGTGCTGACGTTGCTTCCAGAGGCAGTTTGGAACTCGGTAGTGAGTGTTGCAACCGAGGACAGAATATTTTTACGCTCTTCAGCACTTGGTGGTCCCGTTCTGTGAACTGTGACGTTTCCAGTTCATAATAACAGCACTTACAGTTGACGGGGCAGCTCTAGCAGGGCCAAAATTTGACAAACTGACTTGTTGGAAAGGTGGCATCCTATGACGGTGCCACGTTGAAAGTCACTGATCTCTTCAGTATGGGCCATTCTACTGTCAATGTCTGTCTATGGAGATTGCATGGTGGTGTGCTCGATTTTATACACCTGTCAGCGACGGATGTGGCTGAAATAGCCGATTCCACTCATTTGAAGGGGTATGTGTCCACATACTATGTGTCCACATACTTTTGGCCGTGTAGTGTATCTCTATTTTTTTTACTGTACTGAGTTCCTTAGTCCAAAAATAAACACTTCTGTCTGACTAGAGGGATTTCTGGTTGTTTGATGACAAGAATACACTGCAGTCTATGATGTCCTCTGCTGGACAAAATATGAACAAACATCAACTAAATTTCATTGAACGCATCAGTGTATACAGTATGCGCGATTCTCTGTAGGGCCTAACTACAATATAGGTTTGATTAAGCAATGTTAATTACAGACCAATCATCTTGTTGAATGTGGATGTTAAATTCTTACCATTGCTGTCGTATAACTCTCCCTCTCTTTTTCCCCCCGTAGGGAGACCTGATTGGCTGACCTCGACCTTGCCTGGAGCCATGTGACTGGATCACATGAAGAAGCCTGCTGCAGAGCTCATTTTGAGACATCAGTTCAATGGTGTTTGTTGTATTTTTTTAGTTGTTTCTGCCTGGTTGTTCCGGCTGCTCTGTTTCCTCCTCCCTCCGCTAGTGTGATGGCCACCCCACGGCAAGGCTTCCCGTGGCTGGGTTGAGGGCTCGCCGAGCCCCCTCCTCTGGCCGGCCAGCCAGTCACTCCTTTGCACCATTCACGTGATGGACTAAAAGGTCTGAGGAACGGCCTGACGAGGCTGACACGTTCTTATGGGGTGAGGCCTTATCACACGGACGGCCATTTTGGAACTGGAGAGTGCATAGGGGAGAGGGGGTCGATCAGAAACATACTGGATTAAGTTTGAAATCACTACATGGAGTTATGGACTCATTGGATTGTTGGCTGACCCTGGGCTGACCCTGGGCTGACCCTGGGCTGACCCTGGGCTGACCCTGGGCTGACCCTGGGCTGACCCTGGGCTGACCCTGTGCTGACCCTGGGCCTTAGCGTAGTAGGGTTTTAGCTTGACTTGTGGGTTGTTTCATCCATCCACCAAACTACCCACTGACCCGTAGGACATTTTGAGACATTAATTGCAGTGGGGGGTGTCGTTGTTTGGGCCAGAGGGGTGACCGAAAGGGGAGAAACTGGTCTCTCCACCACTCTGGGCTTTCTATGCAAGCCTCTTCTCCTCATACTGACAGAGACAGCCCTCCTCTCCATCTGTTCAGTTTCAGGGGGAGGAACATTCAAGTTCGCGCTCTGTTGAATCTGTATTAGTTTGTGTGAAAAGTTGTCATCCGCCTACTTGAGTTAATTCAGAGAGTAAAACAATGTTGTTGTTTTTTTGTACTAGGCTTTTTATTTTTGTGCGTGGTTCGTTCTACAGCATTAGTCTCCACACTATTCATGTTTTTTCATTATTTTAGCTGTTTATTTTTGTTCTTTTTTCCTTCATGTCTTGTTGGCTTGACGACCATGTTTCCATCTCACTCTGACCCAGTGGTAAAACAAACTCCTTCGGCTGTTTACGTCTGTGTCAAACGCTACTGACCTCTCTGTGGCGGCAGCGACCGCTGTCTCCCGGTTTCCTTTCCGAAAGGGTCAAAGGGTCATCCAGTTTACAGCTCCAATACATCCGCTACAGCGCTCAGCTGCTCAGCGACAGCCTTGAGGGAGGGGACATATCTATGCCTGGAGGTACTTTGGCTTAGAGAGGAGAGGAACAGAGAGGAGGAGGGATGCTCCATTCTGGTGCTCTCTAAGCTCTGTGACCCGGGAGGGAGGGAGGTTGCACTGATCAGAGAGGCTGACTGGACTCTTCACAGATGTTGCCTCTAGTTCCATCCAGCCATTCATCTTCACTGGGCACTGAGAGGGGGTCCCAGACAGACAGGCAGACAGGCAGCCTGCCCAGCTCTTATAGTATACACGGGTTTTGTTTTGGCTGTTTTGGGCCCCAAGTGTCTGTCTGTGGACACTGTCTGGGACCTACACGACTACGTATGTGAACAGTCGGCAACTGTCTGCAAGCCACTGTCTGGCTGTTGCTGCTGCTAGTCTCTCACCAAACTGCATCATGGGATATCTGCAGTCCTCCCTCATCATTGGACATGTAAGAACACAAAGGGAAACTCTCTAGAGCTTGTCAATGGATGCTCAGTAGATATGGCTGCTGCACTCACTCTCCCTCTGTTCTGGCCTGTAGTCCTGGAGAGAGAGGCAGCTCTCTCCCTCTGTTCTGGCCTGTAGTCCTGGAGAGAGAGGCAGCTCTCTCCCTCTGTTCTGGCCTGTAGTCCTGGAGAGAGAGGCAGCTCTCTCCCTCTGTTCTGGCCTGTAGTCCTGGAGAGAGAGGCAGCTCTCTCCCTCTGTTCTGGCCTGTAGTCCTGGAGAGAGAGGCAGCTCTCTCCCTCTGTTCTGGCCTGTAGTCCTGGAGAGAGAGGCAGCTCACTCCTGTATATTTATTAGTGGACGTATAGTCGTGGAGTGCTGTGTTACTGGGAGTTGGCACATGCCCCTGTTATTTTTTTGGTGAATGAGCGTAATTGCAAAATGGAGTCTCCTGCAGGCCCACCTCCTCTCTCTCTCTCCTTTCCAACTATCTCTGTCTAGCTCTGTCGTGTGTGCCTGCATGGCGTAAGCATTATCCCCACACAACGTCCTTCCCAGTGGATCTGCTCCCTCCCGCCCCTCTCACCACCCCTCCTCACTGTGTGCTTTCTGTTTATAGTGGACAGAGGAATTATTTTTAAAAGGTTGTTGGACGCTATCGGAAAATGTCATTTTTTTGTCTGTTAGGCTTCTCTTTTTTCTTCCTACTGTTGTTGACAAACTGTAGCTGCTTTATAACTGGTTCCCCTCCTACCCTTCAGTAGCCTGTTGTTGACAAACTGTAGCTGCTTTATAACTGGTTCCCCTCCTACCCTTCAGTAGCCTGTTGTTGACAAACTGTAGCTGCTTTATAACTGGTTCCCCTCCTACCCTTCAGTAGCCTGTTGTTGACAAACTGTAGCTGCTTTATAACTGGTTCCCCTCCTACCCTTCAGTAGCCTGTTGTTGCCACTCTTGAAGCTCATGATGCCATTTTAGTCCCCTCGTCGCACACGTTCCCAAGCCTCCTCACCCACCCTCAAGGAAAACAAGTCACATTTCAACATGTCATTGTAACCCCTGTTGGTGTGTTTTTGGTTCAATGAGATGCTGCTCGTGAATGCAGTGTATTGGGTGGGAGTTGTGTTATTACTGCCTGCTGGGATAGACAAAGGCTGAGAGCCAGGCTGAGAGCCAGGCTGAGAGCAGAGCAGCTGTCCACAGAGGAGTGATAGAGAGGTAGAACTCAGCAGATTCTTCCACTGCGTCCACTCTTCTCCCGCTAATGGTCCCCATTAATCCTGACGCCGCACAGCGCCCACTCAACCACTTGTCCGAAACAGTAAATCTGATTCTCCGTGATGCTTTTATTGCCCTTTATGGATCCGGCGTACTTGGGAGCGCAGCACAGGAAATCTGAACTAATAAATTGGATTTGTGTTTTTTGTATTGTATACATAAATGTGATTTAGCGGAGGGGACTAGCCATTTGTTGTGCCAGAGGCGGTAAAACAGACCTCAACACCCCTAAAGTGGCGTTTATTCACCAAGAGATCAGTCGAATGCTATTAATGGTCTGCTATTATGAACAATTAAATAGACTGTGCTCAGAGCACTGCTCCCTGTGAGTACATCCATTCCAGTAATACCCTAATAGTTATCCTAATCAGACACGTTCCATTTTAATGCCCTGCTAAACACTAATATAAGAGGCCTGTAGGATCCATAATGATCCAGTCACTAGAAAGGGGATCCCCATTCAAGTCAATGTTCAATGATTGGTGGACCGGCATTCTAATGATTCTATGGTAGGCTCATCAAGGTTGACTTGGTTCTCTCCTGTAATGATGTCAGTTCACATGTTACTGGGCGTATGAATGTTTTTGGAAGTGGCACTGGTTGATAGGCCCTACTCTCACCACAATACTGTTGATGCTCAGCCGTGATTGGATGCTGGCACAGATTTCTTCTGTCATTTTCTCTGAAGTAGATGGTTTTGGTTTTGTTTGGAAATGTGTCTGTCATACAATGGGGGAGGATCCAGTGTTTTTTTAAAAGGCTTTTAACACGTTCTGTACGGAGTGAGATGTGAGGCCAGAACCAGATTATATATTAATAGTCATTTTTAACTGTCTCATTGTGAAACCAGAACCACTGCTGGTGGAAAGTGGTAAAAAATGCTAAGGAACATTTTATTTTTTTATTTTTTTTATCTAGTTTGGGGATAATTTTGTTTTTTTTGTACGTTGACACCCGCCAGCCACAGAAATGAGTTGTTGATCACACTCCCACGGCAGCCATTGTTGGTGTTGTCTCAGACTGTGCTTGGGTAGTCAGTCGTTCCTTGTGTTCCTCACGCCGGGGGAGGAGGGAATGTTCTTGTGTGGGATTTCCTCTTCCTGTTTCTCTATTCATAACCCCGCCCCCTAACCCCCCTGCCCCATCACACTCAGCCCCGCCCCCAGAGCAGTGGCTCAGTATCAGTCATCGGTACTTGAAAGAAAGATGTTTACAGCTTTTTTTATTGCTATGTTTTGTTTTGGTTCAATTCCCCCACCTGCCTCCCCTCTCCCCCCTCCCCCCCCCCCCCCCCCCCCCCTCTCCCCCAAGGGTTTCTCTCTTATGTAAAGTGTACATTGACACATTTCTTTTTTTATACAATACTGTAACTTGCCTTTGTACATTTAAGCAACAAACTAAATCTTTTTATGAGACAATCACTCCCATCTGTCTTGTCTTTTTTCCACAGGTAAATAAAGGGTATGGATCACCATAGGTATTGCTATTAGGAAACACTTAGGTTAATGCATATGATACAGGTTAATGCATATGAAACCGGTTAATGCATATGAAACCGGTTAATGCATATGATATAGGTTAATGCATATGAAACCAGTTAATGCATATGAAACAGGTGCACCAACCTATTAGATTATAAGGCATTATAATTCAACATTCTGTCGACATTTTGGTACTTGCTTGCATAAAAAAAAAAAGTTTGCCATTTGAAAGACTGTGATTTGATAAATATAATGGTTCACCAAATGAAAACAAATTCTGTTTACACTTCCTAACTCGAGGCACACTCATACACTTAGTGAATTATAATGCTTGTAATAAACTGTCATAACTCCATAAGTAGTTATTACATCCTTATAATAAATCACTATGATGCATTATAATACCAAAGTGGGCCTAGCCACTAAGCGACATAGGGCCCAGTGGCCGTAAGGGGCCCGACCAAATTATCAAATCAGTCGGGGTCTAAACTTACTGTTGAGAGTTAGAATAGTAGAATACACAAGGTGCCATTTTGAAATGTAGTTGTGCATCAGTAGTTTTCCTCTTATGTCAGTCTGTAACCACGTTTCCATCCAACCGAATTACCTGACGCGTGAAAAAGGTCACGACCGGGCTGATGGAAACAGGAAATGCCGGTACAATTTTATAAACGCAGACAGACAATTTGTTCGTTCGACATGGTGGGATATTTTTGTGTCTATAAAATGTATTATGCGAGAAATGACGGTGGAAATGCCTTTATGTGCAAATATTGATATAATAACCATGATATCGAAGTAAACTTGGGAGTCACGCGATGACATGTTGTGTGGTCCTCCCACTACGACTCTGGAAAGCATGCAGTTTATTAGGCTACAGATTAAATAAATTAGGAGGAACTTCACAGGGTGGTGAATGTGCAAGGTCATGAGCTTGATGCTCCTTTCCAATAAATATCGATGGTCTTATTCTGGTGACATGATTGATGATCGATGCTTGGCTGCCGTTTTGACAAATACAAATAATATATAATAATGTAGGTAGTCTCCCCGCACTGTATCCGCCAGCTGTTGGCTAGAGAGCACGTGCCAAGACCAGAGTGGGTGCATTTGTATGTAACGCAACAGTTACATAGTAAAACGATTAGCAGAGTTGAAAATGCGATGGAAGACCTTTTAACTTGTATTTGTCATTCTGTGCGTGGGAATCTAACGGCAAAAGGTATTTGTATGTGCACTACGTCACCACACAGCCTTTTATCTGCAGAAATTCAGTTTGATGGAAACGTCTCTGGTGGGAAAATGTGCATTTTTTTTTTAATGCGGATTTTTGAATATTTGCATGAAAATCTTTCGCAAATTGGATGGAAACCTAGCTACTGACAGTCACTAAATTAGCCATGTCAGTTTTTTTTTAGATTGATAAGTTAGTCTAGCCAGCTATCTAAAATTGTAGCAATCATGTACGAATTATGGACAGGGCACACCCAGGGGCCCTGACCTCCAGGGGGCCCCCATTGATTAAAATGATTAATAACATTATTTTGTTAGTCACTCTCACTCAGATATCATATTAACAGGGCATAAGTCATGGCAAAATGTGTAGAATTGCAAGAAATGTGCTTTTAAACTGCAAAAGTTTCTCTCCACCCAATGGCAAAATGTGTAGAATTGCAGGGTTAGGGTGCATTATGCACAGCATCTCATTAGTGGAAACCAAGACTGTTCTCAGATCAAACCTGGTTGTAGCAAAATACAGTATGTTCGAGTTGTGTTGGACAATTTTAGCTAACCCTTTTCCTAACCTTAACCTAATTACCCTAACCTGC